AGAAGAGGAAAAACATTTCCTCGATTCTCGAGGGACATCTTAGCTCTGGAGGTTTGTTACTGTTTGAGGGGCGGCCGGTGTTGCTGGATGCTAATTTGGACATTTAACCAGACGAAGCTCAGATAAAGCCCAGGTTGATGCTGATGCTGATGGTGGTGGTGGGGGTGAGGTTTTCTTTTTTTTCCTACTGTTATCGGTGATGGCGGCAGCGGCTCGTATGACGCCGTTCAGGACTGGCAGCCATATTCATCTCTGTTACTTCCTCTCACCTCTGGGGAGATGTGTTTATTAATGTGCCACTTCCACTGATAAATGGACCAATGGAAAACCCCGGCTCGACTCGCTCGCCGCTGCCACTGCCGCCTCCCCCACTTCTCCATTGTGATTTATATTAGAAGCTGCTTTGGGGAGGGGGAGGGGGGGTGAGGTGTGTTGAAAACATTTTGGGGAGGGGGGGGCTCTCAATTAAAGGAAAGTCATAAACTTGAGATAAAAATCAATAAGCTGCGTAAACTTTCGATTATTCTGGAGTCAAACTTTGACTTAAGCACTTAAAAAAACTCACAAGGAGTCTGTCAACTATGACATCTGTTAATTTTAAATAAACATTTAAGCAAAAGTGACTAAATGATAGCCAAAAATATTTTCCCTATGTGAGCAATAAATATGAGGAAAACCAGTCAAAGATGCTTCCCAGCTAGAAGCGAATGTTTGGCCCAGATGTGGCCCACATCTGCAGTTTTCTTTGGCCTTGAATGACTGCATAAACATGGGGTTAGCATGGCTGCCACAACGCAGCCAGAGGTCAAGGATGTTCTGTTTTTGAGAAACGACACTCGCCAGCACGACAAGTGCCAAAAGAAGCCCGGATTAGGCCCAGATGTGTCGGCTCTCTGGGTTAACTTTACATGATTGCACTTTGCACATCTCTCATTCTGGAGCTAATAAAAAGACACCAGCCCATCGACCATGAAAACGTGTAACAGATGAGTAAATTCGATGCCTAAAAAAAAGATGACCTTTTCTCATGAAAATAAAGATGTAATCGCTATAAAATAAAATCTCATGTTATGACTTTGCCAAGTTTCTGTTCTTTCACCTGCAGCGTGAGACTGTTTTATTTGTAACAGAAAGTTTTTAAATCATTATAATATAAACAAGTCAAACTGAAGACAAAACTGATCTGATGGTGTGAAAGATTACGTTCAAAAACATAAAAACTTCGAGCTTACTTATTCAACATGAAACTACCACAGATGGTGTCAAAGATAGGGAGACACGAGAGGAATTGTTCACCCACACACACACAAAACTGATTTAAAGATCTTAAAACAGAAATTAGTAGATCTGCTGCATGTGTTGAATATCTCCACCTTGAATCTTTACTCAGCTTTAACAAAGCCCCAAAACAAACCAATCAAAACCTTCTGATACCAAAAGCCTGGTAACAGATTTGCGGAAAACTAAATATTTGTAGGACTGAGTGCAACCACAGAAGATGAATATGAAGAAAGCATCTTAGACAGCATTCCTGTTAGACAGATACCTTATGTGTTGCTTCTTTTGAGTAGTTTTTCTCAAACATCACCAGCTTTCCTCCCCTCGTTTCTAAGAATGGAAATATTTCACCGTGTTTGGCAGGTAGAGTGATCTTGCTGCTCCCTGCTCACAGTTTCAGTGAATATCTTAACAATGACATTTTGGCGAGACGGAGCCAAACGTGCTTTCCGTTTGCTTTGGCTCCTGCGCCTGCACAGTGTTTCGGGACGGCTGGAAACTGAGTTATGACAGCTTTAGTGAGCGCGGCTGGCCGGCTTCACGCTGCTGGCAGCCTGCCTTAGCTCTCAGCAGCACAACTTTGGCCTCCGACACCATAACACAGCGAGCTCATTCACAAGCCTGTGGGGAAGAGTTTAACCCACGCTGACGGCTCGTTGAGCGGCTCAGCAGGCAACCGTATCACTCACTGTAAAACTTGGGGTGAGGCCTAAAGTCACCAGTTATTTTGTACATTTATATATTGTATTTTTATATTTAATTTCAGATGTGCTCTGTTTTCAGTGTCATTGTGGACCTCATAGATTGGTTGCAAGTTACAACCTGGAGTTCTCCTTTTCATTTTACAGCCTCAGGATACTCCAGCAAGAAACCACATGTAAAGGTTTTAGAAATGCAAAGACCTAAAATTCCCATGCAAATGTGTTGTTCTGTCCTTTAAACTCATTATAGTTCATTTATAGAGGAAACATCAATGTGCTTTCTTCTATGAGTTCAGACTTCCTGAGCTGCTTTGGAATTTACATATATTACTGGAAAGAAGAAGGTGAGAATGATTGTTCCAAGCAGACAGCAAATATATGCAGCAGTCACACACGACCTGGTTACTTAAAGGTAGACTTTTAACATAAGTGTGTTTACTGTTTCAAAATACTTTAAAATCCAAATCATCCAAAATTAATGAAAGACATCTATGTGTTGACGAGAAATCAAATGGAAGCTAAACTGGTGACAATCTTTACTTTTCTATAAAACCAGTTAGTAGCACAAGATGTTGCAGCGAGTAAGTATAACCTTTACTTAACCAGGTAAGTCATGAAACACACGAGGTCCTGAAGAATCCTTCAAAACCCTTTTGAGCAAAACATGGTGGATGGTTAAAATGTGTAACTAGTGCTGTATAGAATATTACTAAAGAGTGTATGAACAGCTATGCAGCAATGAGAGACTATCCAATGTCAATGAAGGTCACCAACTTCGCCACATAGCTGTTGGAATTATCAGTCCCATCACTGAGGCAACAAATTAACAATAAATTAAAGCAACTTCCAATGGAAAAGTATCACATGTGACCGGGTTACCAAGGCAACCACTGGCCTGAAATAAGTACTGGAAACCAGCTACCAGCTGAAAAGCAATGCATAAGCTTATTGCTTTGATGAGTATAGAGTAAGCTGCTTTTGTTTTGTTTTGTTTTTTATTTAAACTTTAATTGAAAGGGAAAATTGCAATATTAACAAATGTTGCCTTTTGATGCATTGCTGCAAAGTTAGCTTAAAGACAATTTACATATGCAGTCCCTTGGCAGGTTACAAATGTTATCCATAATTGCACTTCAGATAAATCAATCTAAATCCATGAGTAGCATTGGAATAACTTTTGAGACTTTTCTGAAGCGTAACATCAACTGGTTTCTCAAGGTTTGCTTATTAAGCATGTGCCTAGAACAAAACCCAATAAAAAAGCAAAAAAATAAATATATACGTGCATCCACACCAGACACGAGAGTCAAAAACAGGCCAACAATAATATTTTTTTAAAAATCAACAGCTCTCATACTCTCACACTCCAGTTTTGTTTTTAACACTTCCAGCACACCTGCTCGGGATTATGACCAATAAAAAATATATATTGATGGGTACCCATAACTTTTTTTTCAAAATTCTGAGATTAAAGTCAGATTTCTACTAGAAAATGTTAGATTTCTGACAGAAAAAGCCAGATTTATGAGGAAAACAACCAGAATTCTATCTTTCGCCTCACAATTCTAGAAAAAGTCATCTCTTATAAAGATTTTTTTTTCCAGAGGAACCTAATTCTCTCCCTGCTGTGTTTTTATATGAGTCTTGTGGCACACAGTAGTTATGTAAAGCACCTAGAAAAGCAAAGGTGAGTAAAGGATGAGCAGGAAGATGGCCATAAATATCCTACAACCCAGTTAGAAATTTACTGTATGAGAAACACTAACAGGAAATGTCACATCTGTGCAAGTGCAGAGGCGTTAAGCTGGCAGGTATTATCACAATGACTCAGACAGATGAAGTTTTCTGGTGTTCATCACCAGGACTTCCCCTCCACCATTAGTCTCACTCTCAGACACGGGTACCCTTTTAAGGTGCAGAGCAAAGCGCCGGATCAAAGCAGGCATCCATTACATTAAATATACCTACTGCAGCCAAATGTGCCCCACAGTGGAAATATCACAGCACCACAATAAGTCCTCCATGTTTACGGAAAAGTGCTGGTGGAGGCCTGGTGTGGAGGCGAGCTGCTCAGCACATGTCCAATACCTGAAGCCCTTCAGATGTTTGAAGATGTTTGACATGAAAAATGTACACAGGGCTTTTTTATTTATATACCTCTCCTGTGATCTCTGTTTCATCTCCAACGTGATACGAATTTCATCTCCCTAATCGGGGTCAAAGCAGCTCATTGGGTAGAGCCGGGTGGGCTGGTGGGAAAAGAGACCTTTCTACAGTCCGCTTTAGTCAGCTGGATGAACTGACTTTTCACGTGATACAGGATTTGCCACCTGAAATAACGCTCACAACACGGTAACACCCCAAATAACCTATAAAAACACATAAGATACACAGATACACTGTTTGTTATCAGAAGTATATACAACTCTTATAACCAGATACACTTGTAGTTTGTGATTCATCTCCCAAAGAAAAGACAAAACAAATAAGATAAACTTATAAAAACTTAACTGAAATGTTGGTTTACTTTTTTTCCCTATACATTGGATTGGAAAGTCAAAATCAACAATATGAAAAGCCAAAAGAGGTTCAAACGTAGGTTTTATTTCAACTTTAAAACTGTTTCCACACATTTTCACCATTTGCGTAAAGCATACGGTGGCGTACATTGTCACTCATATCCTTGATATTTTAAAGCCCCCTTTCCTTTCTTTTTTTTTACACCCAGGTGACCTGTTTGGGGCAAAAGGCCGAAGTTAAATAGAATGTATGGGTGCATCACTGCTGTAAAGCTGGACATTGTAACATGGCAGTCTATGGGGACCGACTCAGTTTTGGAGGCACCTTCCACTGGTAATGACAGAAACTGCAGTTTCACATTTTTTCATTTACTGTCATCGTACTATGTCTGAACTTCTTAGCCTAAAAATCACAGGAATCCAGAAAACCAAAACTAGGGGCTTAGAGAAGTTAGGAAACTGCAGCTGGAAACCTTTCAAGTCAAATCTCAGAGGTACTCACCATCAATGGGAGCGATGTAGTCAGACAGGTGGGCCCCCGCCGTGGCCCCGGCCCCTTGCATGAGCAGCTCGCTATAGGGGCTCCGGTGGCTCGCCATTAGGTGATAATACTCAGCCGGACTGGCTCCAGGTGGAGGAGGAGGAAGTCCAAACAGCCCACGGTCTTTCAAATGCTCGTGGGCCACTGCAGGAGCAAGCAGAGAGGGTGCGAATGAGCAGAGTTAAAGAAAGCTATGAGAACAGGAAATTAGGACAGGGAGTATAGATGGATGCAGGGATGGAGTGAATGGCTAAACAGGAGGAGGGAGGGAAGGGGGAGAGGGGCAAATTCCTGGTGCCTCACACTGAGGGGATCTCTGAATGGGGAGAGGGGCCAGTGGGGTGGAGCTGGATCGCTGATGTGCAACAGCCCGTGTAGGTGCTCCCACCCACCAACCCCCCATTTCTTCAGTCACACAAGGAAAACAAGTCTTTATGTTGTTGGTGTATGTTAAGGTCAAAGACTCCGGAGTGTAAATATTAGTTCTGATTTACTTTATTTTGATGGACAGTGGAGGAACTTTCACATCATGAGTTTAGTTACCTAATTTCACTACTTTTTCTTCAGTTTTTAACGTGGTTGCAGCCACTTAATTAATCTGCCAATTAATCTAGTTTATAGATTTTAAAGGCAGCCTACAGCTACTTTATAATGCAAACTCGTGAATCGTATTGGTGTTAACATCTGCACATAGTAAGATCCTTTTAAATGTGTCAGCACCTCAAAGTCTGAATTATGAATCTGTTTTTCTCCTCCATGTCCTCACATTGTGTCTTGCTCCCTTTTTTCAGGCTCTCTACTTCCTGCTCGAGTCCTAATCGATCTTTCAGACGACATCAGGCCTCTGGGCGTAAAAAAGAGCAGACGCCGTGCTCGTGCTGACTTCATAGCTGAAGTAGCTGCCCTTAATTCGCCCTCACAGGATCACATTTCCACCTTAAAAACTTCTGAATGATGACCAGAGAGCTAGTTAATCAGATGAAGCTGTGGGAAAAGAGACGCAGTGCAGGAAGAGAGCCAGCAGGTTAAAAACTGCAGAACCTCCGAAAAACAAAAAGATGCTTATTTAAACGGGCTCCAGTTGACTTTTTTTTCACATATTACATTTCTTTGTTGCCAAAGTGTCCTTTAACAGCGATGTGAAAATAACAGGAAGTCACATCTCCATGCTGAGGTGAATAAAGAGGTCACCTGGAAGGCTAGCAGTCTTCATTTCCAAACTCAACACCTTGTCTTTCAACAATCTTTTCTCCTTCGGTGCAGCTTTATCACGGGCCGATCTCAGGCGCGGCTGCTTATTTCACTTTAAAAGCTTTGCCACATTACCACTGACAGACTGTAAAAGAAGATTTATAACCCGTCCCACCACCGCGCTCCAATCTGTTATTGTAATTCAGCGCTGAGGAAAGAGTTGTCATCACGTCCGGGTAGATTTTGAGGAGGGGTGGGGGGTTGTTGAGGGTTTGCCAGCACTGTTTTATCAATTTCAACTTAGTGTTTCTAAAAGAATCCTCTTAGTATCAATGTGGAAGGATGAGGAGGTCAAGGTTTCCCTGCAGAAAGACCCCAAAACATGTCACCAAACACTTCAAACCCAGACTGCCGACTGAGCCATAAGTAGTTCCTTCTAAAATCACAATATTACTTAACGATGCTCCAAAGCAGTTTTCAACCAGTGGAAATAAAACCATAAAGTTTTATGATAAATACAAAATATAACTAGCCTAACATGCTTGGAGGTTATTTGGCTTGAAGGTTAAAGATATGGCTTCATATCTTTGGATTTATTCAAAAGAATTTAAAATATCTACATTTTTAAAAAGATACTTCTCATACACTAGTTTTTGGCTTGGTTATGGTACATTCAATTGGTATACTTTTATTCATATAGCTCCAGCTCACATCAAAAGTCACCTCAAGGCACTTATATTGTAATGTTAAGAGCCTGCAGTTTGGTTTCTTAGAAAGAAACCAATTAAAAATGTATTATTTGTTTTTATATTTGGCTTTCAGACTGGTTTTGTCCATGGTTTTGAATGGTATTTGACTGGATTTTGGAGTTGGTTTCACACTTGGATTAGATAAGCTTCAGTTTAGTATAGTATTTATTTTATTGTCATTGTCAAGAACAATGAAATTGCGTTTGGGGCTTCCATACAACCCCAAAAAAGAAAAAAATAATAAATACCCCTTAAAACCCAAGTGTACATATTTAACCCAGTGTGACTCCAATGCAATAAGACAATCCTTAGCAATAATGTTCGTAGAAATTCAGACAAGCTGGGATTTGTTTTTGATTTCAGCTTAAAGACTAGTTAGACATATTAAAATGGTTACATGTATCCATAATTAGAAGGAGACAAAGCAAATATCCTTCTCCAATACCTGATAATCTGCAGAGATCCTCCAATAAGTGATTTGTCCAAAGCGTGAATGAATTATGAAAATCCACAAAAAAATATTAACTGACTCGTATTTGTTTTGTCTGCCAGCTTGGGAAGATGGCAGTGAAAAACAGTTATATAAAAGTAAATAAGGATTTCAAGGTCCTGAAGGTAAACTAAGGCAAAGATGGTAAAATGTGTAAATGATGTATAAAGCTTAAAAATCCATTGAAATAATGTTACATTTTACAGCAATATAGGTTGAATTTGTCCCCTGAAAACTGATTGGACAACGTGGAAGAGTAAAAGCAGACAGAGAAATAAATGTCTTTCTTTGTCTCATAGATAAAAAAGAGAAGATGGGTGAACTTACAGTCCGCAGGGCTGAGTCCTCGGGCCGCTGAGATCATGGATAGGGTGGGGCTGCTGTGCACAGAGCGCAGGTAGTGCTCCATGTGAGGGCTGACATAGGGGTGAGGCGGGCTGAAGGGAGAGTCACCCGTGGCCACTGCAGCTGGCGAGAGGCGAATCAGGGAGATGTCGGAGATGACGGGGCTGCCGGCCAAACCTGCAGGGCTGGAACAGAAAAGACAAATTATATGCAAACTGCTGCATACTGCAGTTGATCTTTACACTTCTTTAACCCAATGAGCAACCAGCTCCAGAGGTTATGTTCACACTTTTGTAACAATGGAGCAAAGACGAATTGGATATACAAACATAATACTTGTTAGCTTCCAGATTTAGGATCTCCCCCCTTAAAAGCTGCGTGCCATCAACATGCACGCTTTGACACGACCACCTGAAGCGCCCTCGCACTCCACAAACTCCTGCGGTGACGGTGAGTAATCCACCTGCGAACCCAATCCTCCCAGCATCCACCTCAGTGTACACAGAGTGTTGAGAGTGATATCACGTCTAACGCGGTTCCTCTATCGAGCTTTTGATCTGGGAGAGGAGGAGGAAGGGGTGAGATCAGGGTCATGGGACGAGCAGACAGTGGGGGGGGGAAGTGCTGCACGGTGAGGAGAACAGCCTCTACAGATTACACTTGTGTCCACGGGGCATTTTGTGGGCGTCTTTCACCTGTGTAAGGTTATCTGGAACACGGCTGATTCTGCGGTTTTGGGGAAGATGAGCCTGATAAAAGAATGCAAAGCTGACACCTTTGTCCTGAATCTGTGAACTTCAGAGTTACACAAATATATGCACAAAAGTATATTTTTACTAAATGTGAAGTGAGCAAGCTTTGAAAAACTGGAGATGTTCTCAGAGTTCTTCTGTCAGATTTGCTTGTCACAGTCATTTCATCTCAGACTGACACCATGAGGTTCAGATCAGGGCACGATTTTTGGATTGCATGTCTGTACTTGGTTTTACACATGCCATACACTGCTTTTGCACTTGGTTTTAGACAAGCTTCCACTTTGTCTTTGATTTAAGATACGTTTCAGACTTTGTAATGCCAGGTTTTATTCTTGATTTCATATTTAGGTGTTAACTTGGCTTCGGACTGCTTTGTGCATACAGTGGGGCAAAAAAGTATTTAGTCAGCCACCGATTGTGCAAGTTCCCCCACTTAAAATGATGACAGAGGTCAGTAATTTGCACCAGAGGTACACTTCAACTGTGAGAGACAGAATGTGAAAAAAAAATCCATGAATCCACATGGTAGGATTTGTAAAGAATTTATTCGTAAATTAGGGTGGAAAATAAGTATTTGGTCACCTCAAACAAGGAAAATCTCTGGCTCTCACAGACCTGTAACGTCTTCTGTAAGAAGCTTTTCTGTCCCCCACTCGTTACCTGTATGAATGGCACCTGTTTAAACTCATCATCTGTATAAAAGACACCTGTCCACAGCCTCAAACAGTCAGACTCCAAACTCTGCCATGGCCAAGACCAAAGAGCTTTCGAAGGACACCAGGAAAAGTATTGTAGACCTGCACCAGACTGGGAAGAGTGAATCTACAATAGGCAACTCGTCGTGTTTGGAGGAAGAAGAATACTGAGTTGCATCCCAAGAACACCATACCTACTGTGAAGCATGGGGATGGAAACATCATGCTATGGGGCTGTTTTTCTGCCAAGGGGACAGGACGACTGATCCGTGTTAAGGACAGAATGAATGGGGCCATGTATCGTGAGATTTTGAGCCAAAACCTCCTTCCATCAGTGAGAACTTTGAAGATGAAACGAGGCTGGGTCTTCCAACATGACAATGTTCCAAAACACACCGCCCGGGCAACAAAGGAGTGGCTCCGTAAGAAGCATTTGAAAGTCCTGGAGTGGCCTAGCCAGTCTCCAGACCTCAACCCCATAGAAAATCTGTGGCGGGAGTTGAAAGTCCGTGTTGCTCGGCGACAGCCCCAAAACATCACTGCTCTCGAGAAGATCTGCATGGAGGAATGGGCCAAAATACCAGCTACTGTGTGTGCAAACCTGGTAAAGACCTATAGTAAACGTTTGACCTCTGTTATTGCCAACAAAGGTTATGTTACAAAGTATTGAGTTGTATTTTTGTTATTGACCAAATACTTATTTTCCACCCTGATTTACGAATAAATTCTTTACAAATCCTACCATGTGGATTCATGGATTTTTTTTCACATTCTGTCTCTCACAGTTGAAGTGTACCTCTGGTGCAAATTACTGACCTCTGTCATCATTTTAGGTGGGGGAACTTGCACAATCGGTGGCTGACTAAATACTTTTTTGCCCCACTGTAGTTTAGACTGTTTTTGACATTATTTGAGGTTTTTTCACTCTCACTGTTGTCTTCGGTCTTAGTTTCATACATTTTTGACTAGATTCATTCTAATTTGGACTTTGTTTTACACTGTGGTTTGAACTTGGCTTTAGATCAGGTGTTGGACTAATTTGTTTATCTTATTTTATTCTTCCTTTTTATATGATTTCTAACATGGCTTTGCACTTCATTTCGAACCTCTTTGCACATGGTTTTGGATTACATACGGACTTTTATTTTAGGTTTTTCAGCTCACCTTTGGGCCATTTGGGACTTGGCTTTGGAGATTTTTGCTGGGTTTGGCTAAAACAGCTGGATTTTCAGCTGTTTTAAACTAGTTTCTTGACGTGTCTTTGGTCCTCACATACTTTTAGCCTGGTTTTGCTCCAGTTTAGAGTTGGGTTTTAGACTCATTTTGGAGTTGGTTATCTTATAATTTTATTTTTGACTTTGTATTTGGTTTAGGACTTGACTGCAGATTTAGTTTTGAACTTCATAGTTTTAGGACTGGCTTTTGGCTTGATTTCACTTTATTCTTCACTTCGTCTTTGGATTGTGACTCAGGTTTGGGCTCATTAGAATTCCACTGGTTCTGGAGCATTTTGTATAAGTTGGAGCAAAAGTTGTATGGATTTGTTGAAGCAGAACTGCCTCGAACAATCAGAAAACAGTACTCACTGGATGTACTTCCAGTTCTGTCAGTACATGTATAGCTCTGTAACGGGCTTCATTGTGTTGAGTTGCCAGGCTTTTTTCTATGCTAGGTGTGGCTGTCCCTGGTCTATCTTGGCTATGTCCCCAGTGATAGTATTAAACATATCTATAAAATAAAATACAGCAGGTTTCCAAAGTGCTTGGAAGTCCAGAGGGGCTTTGTCAAAGTGGTAAAATTCAATGAGTAATTCAAGAGAAAGAGAGAGTTCATAGTTTGAAGGTGCACTTTTTGATTAAACCATAGCATGTGTTTTAAAAAAAATAGAAATTTTATCCTGAAAGCCAATGGTTAATGGAGAACATGATGCAGGAAGAGAAAATAAAAGTTCTATCATCAAGTATTAATTGAACTAAAATGTGCTGATCTCATGTTTCACCACGACAGCGGAATTTCAAAGAGTCGCTGCCAAAGTCAATCATCGGTGTCAGCAAAAACCTCTCGTGAAGGAGGAAAGTTTCTCAGCTAGATGAAAAGAATTCTTTTATTTCTTATTAACCACAGGCTCGAAGGACCTTTCGGGGTTTTGACCAATTTCAAAGTTAGAAATGTCAATAAAACTACTGAACATTTAATCAAAATGAAAAAGTTCTTATCATTATTCATTCAAGTGGTTTGAATCTGAACCCACAGCTGATGTTTCAGTCAGTCATCTCCACATCTGTGCGACGACCTCTGCTTAACGCTCACCAAATCTTTTCTATCTCTCACATGGCTGCTTCATTAAAAATACACTCTCTCCCTTGTCCGTCCATCCAACAAAGACTTGACTGCCTCACAGCCAGAGCGTTGGGTTGCATCACGACTGAGGCAATGTTTTTCTGTCTCCCCATGCACACGATAAAGATCTGATTTTCCACCCAAAAACATAATCAGCCCCTCGGTCTGTTTGAAATATTAACACTCTCGTCATGTAACAGCCTGAGGCCTGTCTGTCTTTGAATCCAGCCTAAGTTGGGTTGTTTACCATGATAACAAGCTCCTCCAACAATCACAGTCTGAATCAGATGAGAATATAAATATTTCTCTCTTTAAATCTAACCTGAAAGCTTTGTTTAAGAACACTAAGAGCTAGTCATGTAATATTCAGATGTTCAGAAGGTGCCAGCAGGCTGCAGGTTGAGCACAATGCTCGACCTTCGAAGCGTGTCCTGGTTTGGCGCCATGCAGCAGGCTGAGACAGGAAGGAGCCGCCTGGGAGAGGCGGAAATAGGTGGTGGTTACAAAGAGGATCCCTGTCTTCTGTCTCGTGAGAAAAAAATTTAATCTTATGGTATACATCTCAGTTCTTCAAATTATACTGAGCGCAATTTGTTTTATGCATCGGGAGACTTTTTTCATCTACTGTTACTTCTTTTACAGCTGCTTTTCTATCTGCAAGCATTCAAATCTGATCTAATTCAACTTAAATGTACAACACACATTTCTGAACTCTCAAAAGTTTTTACATCACTGCATGCAATGAAGCGGCAACTTCTTCAACTGAAAAATGCAGCGTCGCAAAGAAGTGCAGTTCCTCTAATGGCCACTTGAAACCGGCTTTAAAGGTAAGTTAGTGCTCACAGATATTAAAATGTTAAATTTTACAGTAGAAGCAATCAGGCCATTAACTGCAGGCAAAATACACTGCAGTGTCATTTTAACCTGGCAAAGTTCATAAATTTGACTTTTATGTCTGATGATTTCTGAGACTGTTTTTGCAAATCTAATGCTTTCTATGTAAAAAATAATCTAATTTTAATTTTAACACAAATTAATGACTTTAAACTTGAAATTCTGAATGTTTTCTCTGATTATCACCCCCTCTGCTCTGTTTTTAGCTTACAGTGCACTATTATGCATTATTATACACATTAATCTTTACCTAGCTAAAGAACAGAAGTATAGCAGGATGTGGGACACAGTGCAACCAGCATGTTTTTCTTATCAACAAAGACTTCAGGTCCATTTAAATGCTCTCTTAGAGGAAATCTGCCAACCAGTTCTTTTACCGGATAACGGCAGATTCAAAAGGCCATATCAGCAGCAGCCATCTAGGTTGTTTTTTAGGCCTACTCTATATTAGATAAACGGCTGTGATTGGCCTGGTTTGAACAGGAGGAGGGCCAGAGGCAT